ATTTGTTGGTAATATGCAAAGTTTTTCTTGATCCCTGCTTCTTTGCATTTTGAACATAAATCTTGTAGAATCTAGATCAACGAACACTTTCCATATTATAATATGCAAACACTTTCACACGAAATGGATGTCAGCTTAACAATTTTGGAACAAGCGATTCCTCGAAACCCAACTTTTCTTCGCTTCTAAGATATGAAATCTAAAAATAGAGCCCTTAACTTTTGGTCGCTCTGGATCCGTACAGATCGGAGACAAAGTTGATTCGATATAACCGATTGCTGATGCTCTTTCTGGAAGACTTTCCATTTTTGAATAAGTATGTGAGTTAGTGCATGAATGTGCCAGTAAAGCCAATTGACAGCTGGTCAAGGAAAATCGGCCGTCGTCTTCTGGTGGAACCGAACTTCGTGTCTCTTTACCCAACACTTTCACTCGAAACAGGAACTAATCTCAACAATTAGGCAACAACAGATTCCCCAAAACCCAACTTTTCTTGACATAATCCCTTTCAGCCAATCGAAGCAGCACTTCGTGAGGTGTTGGATTGAAGCTGTTGCATCTTGACGGCCTGAATTGACAACAAAAAGCCTCATTTTACCCATTTGCAAATTATGCCAACGGTAGAACCAAGAGCAAATCACAGCGCACACACTAGCCCATCCTTGCACGAAACCGCCTTTCTCGTCTCGTCACAGCAATGCCTAGTGCGAATGAATTATTATGTGAGATGTGTTCACCCCATTTCATACAAAGGGATGCGCGACTGATAGCTCAATTCTCCCACAATCATGTGAGTACGGCAGGCGTTCCCATTCAATTTCACACAGCCCTGCTTGTCCAAAAGACATTCTCATCTCGGCTGACGTGGATTGAGGTCTCGGAATCGCGTCAACTGGTCTCATCATCACACCCAGCAGGACTCGAACCATAACATGCCAACATTAAACACTACTCCACATTGACACTACTGCCCTGGGGTCATGTGGCAGATGTGAATTTTTCCCATATATTTGCTGTTACAATCGACTATACTACTCATTTTTCGTTTATAAGTAGGCTTTCGAAAGTACCGAAATGAAAGTCAACGGAAGCACCAGTTCAATGCACTCCCTCTTCCCCTTGAACGAAATAGGCTAATATCATTTCATACAACTGAAAGTCTATTTATACACGAAAAATGTAATAAAGTATCGACAGAGGAAACATGCCATCGTAGAGTACAGCAAGACGAGCCCTCCCCGTGCCTTAATCACATGCATTCGTTTCTCTTGTCTTTCACAACCCCAAAGGCATCAGCTCTGGGTGACTCGACAGAAAGACTCCGAGCAGACGGCCTCGTCGGTGTTCAACGGAATCGACCTCGTCGACCCGGTCGTCAACTTCACCACTTTCAGTGCCGACAACGAGAACATCGTAGACCAGGTAAGTGGTGCTTCTTCCTCGCCCTACTCCACTCGGCCATGAACTTGCAGCCACACAACTTCATGCTTGTTGCGCGTACGTCCATTTCGAGTGAAGCGATTCCAACGTCGCTTCCACCAGAAGATAACGGCCCATTCCTCTCGACCGGCCGTAGTATTGCACACCAATTTACACGTATCCGATTATGCGGTTGTTTGCTTACAAATTATGTTTTTAGCAAATTATATGATTGTTTTTAAGGACAATTTAAACTAATTATGATTACACACCAATGTCATAAAATCAGCTCACCGAAAACCCAAATGGATCATACCAAAACCGTGGTTTTTTGACTTTTGGGTTGGGGGAAGGGGGTTGGTGTCTAACTGAATTGGTTTATTTAATACGCTTTTATGTTAACTTACAAAATTACACATAAGGTAGTAGTATTACCCACCAATTTACGCCTATCCGATTATGCGGTTGTTTGCTTACAAATTATGCACATCATCTAAGTAGGGTAGCATCATGACAACCAAATTCAAGTTAACAAGATAAGACAACTCACCGGACTTTTTTTGAGACCAAAAACACCAAAAAAATCATCAACAAAACCAGACGAGTGTCCGACCTTGCGCAATCGGAGTCATGGTTATAACATGTTTTTAAAAAGGGGGAGATGGGGAACATCAAACCTTGACGTTACTTTTTGCTGTCCTAATTACTTTGAGCCATCACTGCGAACACAAACAGACACATACACATACAGAGACAGACACACTCACAGGCTTCGAAGTTGAGATGTGACGGAAAGTAACCAAATCACTTTCCACCTCATCAAAGAGGTCAGACATAGAATGTATATGAGATGTATTCACTCAATTTTGTTCAAAGTGATGAAGGTAGACACGAAAAACAATACTTAATTCGAAAAATAGAATTTTTATGTACAGCTTTTTAGGAATGTTGCGGGACGTTTATTTACTCGTTGGTTTATATTTGGTTGTCACGATGCTGCCTTATTCTGATGATGTTCGTCATGTGACGGACAAGAGCTTGACACTGTTTCACCGGAATCGAAAAAAAACAACGTCAACATGAATCTTCCAGAATGGTCAATCGACGGTTGGTCAAGAGGACTCGAACTTTGAATCTCTTTAGTGCACACTTTCACTCGAAATGAAAGTCAGCTCAACAATGATGAAACAAGCCATTCCTCGAAACGCAACTTTGCTTCGTATAAATAACATCTTCGTGCCGACTTGGCCGGAGTCGGGTCGAATGTGTTCGGTGGGAGGCCAATCGGTCGTCGACGAGCCACGAGGACGGGCGGGCAGCCACCCAGAGACAAACTGCCGCATCACCTTCAAGGGAATGGGGGGAAGGCAGTTATTGGTCTGAAGCAAAAGTGCGTGCTGACTTTGTTTTTCAGCACATTCTTCACCTATTCCGTAACGTTTGGATTCTTCTCCTGGCGCCGTCTGTCACAGCATTACACACATGAGCTTAGCACATGTTCCGCCGTCGGCAATCCTCCTTTCACTTCAGCTCACAACATTTCCCGCCTTCCTTCCGACCAACTTTGTCTTCGAAATACAAAGTCATGTCACGGTTATTGATGCACCCCATTTCTCCCTGAACTCCTTCAAACCGAGTTCGAGTTGCACCGCGACGAAAGATGCTGCGATCCAAGCAGAGTTTGTCACCAAAACTGGCGATTTTCGAGTTCAAGTCCCAATTTTTGCAGAGCCGATTACCCCGCTCGGAAGCTCAAGTAAAACTTGAGTCATAGTTGCCCCAAAGCCAAGTTTTTGCTCGATTAATTTTAACCATTAATTTTAATTAATAATTTTAACCATTAATTTTAATTATTAATTTTAACCATTATAACCCAATCGCAAT